TTAAGGATGGAAGTGAGGTCCTCTGCAAAGCACTGACCTCCCTATTCGAACGTATCTGGAAGGAAGTGTCCGGCTAATTGGAGCGAATCGATTATAGTGGCAATCTACAAGAAGGGCAGTCGCACAGACTGTTCTAACCACAGGGGTATTAGCCTAACGCCAGCTGTGACAAAATTATTGGCCTCCATTGTCGTTCGTCGCCTCACTGCGGAACGGGAATCTCGGAGTAGGGAAGAGCAGGCAGGTTTCCACCCAGGATGTGGCTGTATAGACCATATATTTACTTTGCGGCAGGTGCTAGAGCAGCGCCACGCATACCAAAGATCGATAATAGCTGTGTTCCTCGATTTCAAGAGTGCGTCCGATTCAGTCCATCGATCGATTCTGCTCGAAATACTTCCGCTTAAGGGTGTACTCACGAAATATGTGAACGTCATTCGTGCTCTATACTCGAACACTGCGGTGTCCTATCGGATAGCTTTCCGACTACAAGTGGCGTTCGTCAGGGTTGTCCGATTTCCCCCTTTTTGTTCTATCATGGAGTGTTCCCTTGCGGAATCTCACGATGTAGGCGTTGAAGTGCTGCCTATTGAAAGGTTAGTTGATCTAGATTATGCGGGCGATATCGTCTTGCTTTTTGACGACGTTGCGGCGGCACAATCAACCCTGAATAGCCTGTCTAGAGTGGTCCCATTATTTGATATGCACTTCGCACCTTCAAAGTGCAAAGTGTTGCTGCAGGACCACCAGCCACTTGATGACCCCTTGACGCTTGCTAACGAAGAACTCGAGGTGGTCGATCATTTCACTTATCTTGGCAGCTGCATCAGCAATGATGGGCGCATAGATACTGACATCCACTCACGCATGGCAAAATCCAGCGCTGCCTTCTTGAACCTGCGACATCTTTGGAGACAGGAGTTCCGCTTCGTCTGAAAGGCTGTGTATACAAGGCCACGGTGAAGGCCGTTCTCGTCTATGGTAGTGAGACTTGGCCGCTTCGGTCTGAAAATCTGAGGCGCCTTAAAATCTTTGATCATTGTTGTCTGCGAAGCATTGCTGGAGTCGGATGGCACCAGCGTGTCTGCAACGATGATGTGCGTGGGCGATTACTAGGTGGTGATAATCATGCTAGCTCGTTAGAACAACAGGTAACACTGAATAAGTTGCGTTGGCTCGGGCACGTGCTACGCATGCCTGGTCACCACTTATCTAAGAGGACCTTGTTCATTCTGCCAGGTGTATGGTGGCGCATAGCCCGAGGTGGACAGAAGTTGACTTGGCAGCGGGAAATGCAGTCACTGACGACCAAACTGGGTGCCGTTGGTCCGTCTCGCCTTTCGGGTTGGAGTCCACGTGACTCACCTTGTGCTTGGATCGAGACTTTACAGGACATGGCTCGTAGTAGACACCAGTAGCGCGTCTGCTGCCGTCTCTTAATCAGACTGCCTGTTTAAAGTGTGTTTGGTGCTGAGTTATCTGCGGGGTAATGACTGATTATGACGCGTGGCAGTGAAAGCCGCAAGGAAGCTGTCTCGCCGATGCCGCCTTATCTTTGCACGATAGCCAGCTGTTTGTGACGATATTTTGTCTACACAAGGTATAGGTGCCTTCACCCTGCATGTTTGTTTAGGGCACTAAGGTTTTCATGTAAGTCCCCTTCTCTTCCTCTTCTTATTTCATAGGTCCTCATGGTTATATGGCAGCGAAGCATCAGTTCAAATGACTGATGTACTGCTGTTGATGGTGATGACCAAGCGTTCTGACTAGTTATTGGTTGGCTGTCCACTCTCGTCACGTGTAGTTTTAGTAACACCAGGTTTCCTGCTGTCCGTTTCCCGTATCAGACGGAGTAACTCGAAGGTTGCCAAGGGCAGCACCCACTTCCATCTTTGACGCACTCTGAGACCACTAAGATTCGCGGGCTGTCTTCATGCTAGCATAGAGTTTTCCGCGGAGGTTTTTGCGAATGTCGTTGTGTTCGCTTTCAGCGGAAATGTGCCGGCGGTCATCGATAAGTTCCAGAAGCTGCGAAGGAACCCGGTGTCCATGTTCGTTAATAGACTTACCCCATGGAAATTTGTCTGCTGTTACTAAGGTCGGATGAACATGCGACCACTGACCTTCCTTCTTATTCACTGAGCGCTTACACGATGCGCGAGCCAGCGTACTTCGATATGGATTCAGAACAGCTGGCTTCGCCAGTTGCCTGGTGTCAATGCGCTCACAGACTCTTCGTGGACGTCCGCCAAAAGTGAATTTATCATACTTATAATAACCAATGGTACTTTCATATTTACAAAATTCCGCTTCCAAATGACAATTCGCAATAAGAGCTCTATATCTCTGAAAGGTTGGACAAACAGAGGCCGTCACTTTGGGGTCACCAATTTGGGGGAATTTCGAATTGCGGTTCCGGAAGACGAAGGTCTCATTGTACCATCGAGAAAAAATGACGAGATGGATTGTGTTACTATCGAGGGATGGGAGGGGACGCAGCACCGGCTGCAGTAGTAGTCGAGCCCGAACTAGTGGCCAAACTCAACTCATCGCTCGATACAAATAAACGAACGTTTATAGCTCAACATACCACACCTGTCTCCCGAGTGTACAGTGAGGTAGTAATTTTGGTCAGAATTTTGCACGAGTTCGGACAAATCGGGGAAATCGTCAATAAGTCACACATCCGTAGTACATTTCATTACAGGAATGACCGAATTTAACTGAAACCGTATAAGGTATGTACAATCATTGCCTCAGCATATTTATACCGAATGGTTAGTACAAACCTCTATGTCTTAGTTTGGATAGCTCTACTGATGTTTACGTCGGGCATGTCTCGGCGTCAATCTCGCTTTAAGGACACGAGCTCTAGCTGCAAGGACAGCATACGTCACCAATTTCCTTGGAAAAATGAGTTATATTGGATACACGAACTATGGGAAAATAACGATTATAGGGGAAAATGATGACGTTGCATATATGGTTTTGCGCACCCGCTAATTCTTATCAACATCTAAAAGTCTATACAGATAAAAAGGGATTTCTTTTACCTTTTTTCAGCTTTCTTTGTGAAATATAAACATCGAGATAGACATCACCAAGGAACGATTTTCAATGACAACTGCATGAAAAGCGGTGTTAGCATTGGCTGTCCTCTACTTTTCAGCTTTCATATTGACCTAGTCTAGTAGTGGCAGACTTACCAGTGTAGCATGGGTGTATATATCCAACACTGCTATTGGCTGAGTACTACAACAGTAGTTTAAAGCGGAAAACGACAGTTGGAAAAGAAGAGTCTTTGGCCATATCCACCAGCGTTTGCAACCAGGTGTTCTTGAGATCCTTTGGTCACCAACAACGGTGAGGTTCGATATTTGCGCCTTAACATATTGGATCTAGGTTTTACACTGGCCTCCTTGTCGTCGGGGAGCACAGGTAGAAGATGAAGATCGGTTGGCATTTTCGCTTCATCTTTCACATGCACTCGAAACTCTCCTCTTTATGACATAGTAAAGTAGAAGTAATAGTGGAGCGAAGATTGAAAGTGAAGGTCGGTTAGTATCTCCTTTTCAGCCGGCCTGTATCGTTAAGGATCACAAGCCGGCCTTATAACCTTGGGGCGCGGGTTCGAGCCTGCGTAGGAACCGGATGACTGTCGCAGTATCCTTAGACCGCGTGCGAATGATGGTGGTTGTACGGCAGTAAAGCTTCGGTACTACGTCCTGGCGCATTGCTGATTCTTTTCCATTTTTCTTCGGTGGTTATTAAAATTCTCGGTCTGATTCTGCAAGTTAATTTTTCGGACCTTATGCAGGTTAATGATGTTGGCGGTTTTACACAATTTTTAGTTGAAGGCTTATTTGCTTATTAACAGTACACCTTTAAGAACTGTGGCTGGGGATGACGATACAGGCCTTCGCGTTACGAATGACTGGTAAGCCGCCCAGGATTCACAGCGCGTTGATGTCCTACTTACCCTTCCTGTTTATACTGACAACGAAAAGCCGCTGTCGCTTAACTAATGGTCATTCGACCAACTTTTGTCTTGGTCATTTTTAAATGCTTGCACATCATATTCCACTAGGGTAGAAGGCACTTTGTTCCAACTAAGAAGTGTGGTATGGTTTAATTCACTGTATCTGATTTGTACCTCTGCTGCTTTAGTTTAGGCGATGCCACACAGGTCTTCCGACGACGTCGGCTCTAATGATCAACAAGCTCACTTGGCATCATTTTGAACGTTTCTATCGGATTTCTCCTTACTTTGCGACACCTAGACGGAAATGTTCCTAAGCTACTTAGTCGATCGTCACATTGGGATTCACTGAATGCAGTTGGCAGTAGTTCTGCTTTCCGTATGCAATTATCTTCTTTCGAAAATGTGACGCGTAACCCTTTTTACACTATTTTTGCTAGTCGAGCCGCTTCTTCTTATAAAGTAGACGTCAGGTTTGGTATCACAACACTTGAAGCAGGATGATCCCTACCTTATTCCGTTAGCAACATACAAGCGCGGTGTCAAAAGCGGAGTTTTCGGTCTACAGCTGCTTTCCGAGGCCTCTTGATCGTTGGCTTGAACGCGAGCGGCTCACTCTGGCTGTGGGCTTTTCGTCATCATATTTCCTTTTTTTTGGTTTTATGGTACTCGGCGCATCTTATTTGTAAAGTTGTCACTGAGCACTCGTGGGACCTGTTGTCATCGGTTTTTAGATTGCTAGTCCCACTCTTGTATTATCTTATAGCGCATTTTGTTAGACTGCTATTCGTTTCTGTATCGACTTTACGCTGCACCATACACATTCTAATGGCGCTGCCGATGTGAATGTTTTGCCTAATCAGTTCCTTGCGCTGCTATCTTTGCTGGTCCTAGTATATTTGAACCGTTTTCTGCATTTGCTCATCCCAGTGACATAAACATCGTCAGCCATCGTAGACCATCGTATAGTTTTCACTTTACTACGTTTTCCTGAATAAACTTTTCATTCTCGTTCCCTCAGGCCAAATGTCGCGAGGATGAGCGCACATTCCGACTCACCCTTGATCAACTTCGAGCCACATTGTCGGAATTGCATGATCAATTCATCAAACTCGACACGCAAGTCCATTTGGTATCAGGCAAGCTGATTCATCTGGGTGAACAACTGGAACGGAAGAACCTACCCCGTAAGCGTATCGAAGAAGCCAGAGACCTTATACTGGAGTTCTACAAATTTTTGGGTGCTGGTGGAGGCACGTTTGCAAATGTCGCGGTTAATCTTCAGGGCGATGAAGCTCAAGTGAGTTTCTGCATCACTATACTCCGAAACCATTAACTACGTTATTCATTGCTCTGGGCTTTATACCTACTTTTAACACTGATTTATCTTCGGGTGCATTGATTTCTCAATAATCAACTGAATGTTTCTACGGGGTTATCATGAAGCCACTGTCTCGTTTGCCTTCGTTTGCTAAACGACGTTTTCGTCTGTGAGGAAAGTGTGTTATCTTAGTCTTATATTCTGAACCCTATGTTCATCTTTTCTATGCCAAAATTCGGCCAACAGGGTTTTATTCCAGCTTACATACAGCTCTGACTATCTTGTCAAACATATACCCCAGCCGAACTAGCCTCCGTACGGCTACAGAACGGTTGCATTATCAGCTTTTCACGTCTGGATAAGTAAGTGAAAACAAGCTGTTGCTGATGTCCGCTTCTCTTCTTGCACTTCTTCCGCACCCACTTATTTACCTTCCCTCCCCAGTGTGCAGAATGAAGATGCAGTTCTTTACAACTACAGTCATTTTCACCGATGTCACTACGGGTCTAGCTAGTCCTTTGCCACCTTGATTCACTCATCAAACTACTCTGTATTATCTTTTTGACTTTTCGTACGACTCCTAGACAGATGGAAGAGGCTACACACAACATTCTAGTGATCATCGTATCTTTTAAACTGCATTGTATGCCTTACGTGGCTACCGAAGCAATTACGCATACCTTATCCTCCCGCTGTCTGCTGCATAGGTATGGGAGCTCCGATGCAACCACCGCGAGCCACATTGGAGTTTGTACCTCAGGGCCAAATCCAAATTTGTTGATCGCATTTTCCTGATAACATTAAATAAAAGTTACACGTAGACACTAGTTGCTAGCGGTTGCAGCCTATTGTCAAACTGCCGGCTTCCGTGTTCCCTCCATAAGCCTCTTTTACAAAATGGCGTGTGTAAAATCACAAAAAAGCTGTCGTTCCGTCTTTCATTCATTATCAAATTATATATATATATATATATATATATATATATATATATGCTCGGTAACTTTAACTGCTTTTCCAACATCGACTGCTCTTGGCAGCGCTGGTTCTACATACAATGAACATCAACGTGCAATCTGCCGTTCTTCGGCCCCTAAACAGTGATGGAGCCCAATAAGCCACATTATTACGAGATTCGGATAGCGTGGTTCAGTCTTTTATTGTTGCTTTTCTTACAACATGGGTGTTTACCATGCCTTAATACACCATTAAAATTCCGTTGACTGTTTGAGGCACAATGAACGATTTCATTCATTTAAATCGATTTCATTCATAGCAAATTCGAGGACACTTTCATAGTGTTTTGGGAAACCCACCAGAATGCTCGGTGTGTCAATCTTCGTAAAATTTGTGTTCTGAGAACCCGAGTTTCGGTGTTTTTTGCGTTTTAGCTAACACAGGAACTGCCACTGTGCACACACTTGCCATTACACCGAACACTTAGTCTCCGAAATTTGATGGAATCACTAGAGCCTAGATAAAGTGTCCTCCTCACGCTGAGCATAGCTCGATAGACTTGCTGTCAGGTTTTCTGGATGGGAGGTCGGTTGGACTCATATGTTTTAAAATCTGGTGGAGGCAGGTCGCGCACAACAACAGTTTGGAAAAATACTTGCATCTTCGTTCTCAATGTCCGACTGGTTGAATGTGGAACTTTTGGCTCATCGAAGTACGATTACTCTTGTTGTATGAGTCGGAGACTTGGCCATGGTGCACCGAAGATATTAAGAGACCGGTCCTGTTTGACCACCGATGTATGCGAAACATTTCTGGTGGCGACTTGCAAAAGAAGTCGGTGCTCTCGGGGCCAGCCTCGTCCACTGCACGTTCATAAGGTGCATGACGATTGGAGATGAGCTGCGCTATATCGCGGTTTGAAATCAGTTCTGGCGATTCGCTGTCGTCACCCATGACTCAGGGGCATAAGTCGCTGGCTCGTAAGAGTAAGGTCGTGGGTTCGAATCCGGAATGATTCAGCGGGCGCGTGCTATTGACGAGTCCATACAGGACGAAACGGCCGTCTGGCGATTTCCCGGATGTGTACTGGTTGCGTGCTTTAGTCTAGCTGCGACGAATCCTCACAAAAACACAATGAATCTTCTCCTACTCACTAATTTCTGTTATCCACTACTGCACCGAACCGGTGGCACTGAAATCCGTCAATAGGTGTAGGTAACTCTCTTGCTGTGCACTGAACTGTCTGTTCCAACTCTAGTCCCCTACGCTAGCCAGGCCGCCCCTCTCATGCTTGCCAATTAGTGTATTTTCGTAATCACTTCAGCCGATTTGACGAGATCCCAAAGGGATTTACCGATAACTTGGGCGCTTTTGATTTCGTTCACTGCAGCAGCTTCTAGGTCAAATAGCCTACAACGCAACTATGAACGCACCAGGCGGTCGTTTCATCCTATCGGAACTCATCGGTGGTACACATCCCCCAGCTCCATCAGGAGCCGAGCCCATGATCTTTCGACACTGGCGGCGTACGCCACTAGCCAGCAGCTTTTGCCACTAAGCCACCGGTAACGTCGTCACGATTGATTTTGGAAATGTTGGTCCACGGCTGAAATGTCAGGAGTTCCCGAAAGAAGTTGATTTGCTGATGAACCATATTGTAAGCCTTCTCCAATATCAGTAGTCTGGCAGCAAGCACTCGTACTTTTCCAACCACTGATGGCTGAACTAGCATCGAAATGATTCAATGGCATTCCATCTTATGCTGGGAGGGTCGTAAGGAGACTAGGGATAAACTCATTCGCATCTTCACTCGGCTGCTGTCTGATCGAGTTGCATTTGTTGCGCACCGTAAACCCGTGGTGCTTTCCACGCCATAGTTGATCGAAAGAGGAGAACACAGTCTCTAGCTGCAAACTATTGAAGTGTCACTGATCCTCGTGCCCGACATGGGGGCACAGTAATTTGGTTTTCGCAACGTCATCAATATTGTTGTTGCATCCAAGTAGAACAGGGACGTCAATTTAGTTCGTAAAAGTAGTTTTCCATTATGGAGGTGCCGTAATCGGGTTAGCTATGAGGTAGTCCAATTAACTCCACCAGTAACATTATTGGCATCAGAAACAAGTGCAGAGTATATCGTAAGACCGATTAGACAACACGTGTGCAATTGCTTGAAATACCAGAAAGCAGTAGTATACGCTGAGTTCTGTGTCGCTGTGTGGTTAAGCAAGAAGAACATGGGCCAAAAGGCGCGGTGAAGGTATAGAGCAAACTACACACAGGCGCATGTATACACCACGCCGTCGGCCGAGATAAGGTGTCGGCGGTTGGCTGAGTACGTATTAAATTCTTCTTGCTATAAGTCATGGGTATAGCAGAGGAGTGCTTGTGAGAGGTTGTTGATGACTATGCCTAATATGCCCGCTAAAAGCTGCCTCGAGTTGTCACGTTTCCTGCTCACGGATGGAAATTTCTTTAATCTGTCGCACCAGTGACCAACCATCGATGCCTCTACCTGGACGCTGTGTGATGCCTTTTATTTGTTTCTGTTCCCCTTTCATTGATATCTGATTTCCTTATCTCACTATCTTGTCTTCAGTCTGTTATGCAGTGAAGTTCACAGCTCCGGTGTGTACACACCACTTCCGCCTCCTTTCTTTTTTGCAGCTACTCGAAGCTGCCACACGCATTAAAAGTTTGAGTTCTCTGTGTTTGGAACTTCCAGATGATGAACGGTTTCTACCGGCCAAGCAGCGCGTCACTGGTATCATATCCATCTTATACCACATTTTATACAATATCTTGTAGTTGCACAGCAGCAACTGGAATCCACGTTACTCGAACGATTCCGATTGAGTTATCTGAAAAGGGATACTCACATGATGAAGCAGATATCCGATGTTCTCGTCAACTCAAAGAGTCATTCGATGTGTACCGACATTCTCGTGGAGGAAGTACTGAAGGTAAGCCATGGAATTTGCAGGCTTCTCTTTGGTTACCAACCGACCCATTCACCACAATTATGGGCCAGTTTGTCTCACAAGATTTGTATATGTTATCGCCGGTACTCTTAACTCTTGGCCAGTCTTTGTTCTTCTCTTGAGTATGTGCTACTTGATCCGTTGCATACGACGCGTGGTTTTTGCTAGCAGTTGCAATGAAGACTTCGTCGGTTCCGTTTCGTTTTAAGTGCAACCTCTTTGCATGGTGAGCAGGTATGAAATAACTTCAGTTTCAGCACACGTAGATGAAGGAGAACACAGCTTCGACTGGAACAAACTAAAGATCCTGACTTAATGAGAAACGCAAAATGGGGGTGTTTCTCGAAGCCTTGCTTTCAAGCATGAGCCCAATCAACATGCATATCGACATAGATCCAGCATACTAAACACTGACAAAAAGCTCCAGAAGATTAAAATCCGCACTTCGAAAGAACGCAATCCGTCAATCAGACAATGAACAGAACGGACAGTGTGAACTCATACTGCTGGTCTGTGCTTATTGCACCAATGCAAGTGGAAGATTCTAGACCATGTCATGACAACTTTTGTGCAGCAAATGCTTATGACCCGAGCACAACGATTGACCAATCAGTGCAGGGATAAATTAATAGTAACCCTATACAACCGCCTTCAATCTTGTGGTCAGTTTCGTCGTTCCCTGATTATTCTATCACCCGACACTCATAAATCTTACTAGACCACGTGTAACTGAAAGTTTCCACTGGCTTTGATGAATGGCCATTAAGCCTGTGAGTATCATCATCAAGCTAATTTAACAACCACTGAAATCCAACTGCTTAACGAAGAGCTAGATTGGCTACCTCATAAAGCATCTGACAACCGTGGTATTATGTATCGATGAGTGTTCAAATTCACTTGGACGTATGTCTGTGAGTGACGAGCGTAGGTCAACTATTTGGCATGATATATCATGCTTTAAATAGGTCGGATTGATGAATGGAACGATGTCATAAAACTACCCTGATCAACACGGAATTCCTATCACACTGGGAAGCCCGAAAGGGAGTTTAGTCGATGCATGGTGCTTCTGGAAACATTCGACAGATTAGGAATCGGCTCAAAGGCAATGTAGTTGTGGGCGAGAACACTTCGAAATATCTAGGTTGCTGGAATCGTGAGCTACAACCACTAATTGCACCTATGATAGTTCACTGTACAGAACGAATACCTTCAAGTAGAATGAAGTTAAGGAAACTATCTAGAAGACGAATAGAAACGTTTAAGGACGTCGTTCGTGTCCGCCTGATAAGCGTTCTCCTCCATAAAAAGCGACAAATGTCTGCTTAACAACAATGCGACGTGGCGCATGTGAATCGCCACTAAATAAAGTCACTGCGATACACCCTCCACGGACGCCAGTCATCCAGTACGAAGTTTTCCTTTCCACCTTCTCAAGTAGATGGCCCGACAGAACACAATCACAACTACGGCGTCACGTCTGCAAATTCAAGCAGACAGCTGCAAACATTCATACCGACATACGCACAAATGCTACTGCTAACCTCGTAACATTATTGTACCTTTGCCAACCATTCGTGTTGGTATGATCATACGTATTCAGGCGTTCCTCGCTATGTCGAGAATATAGTATCTATTTATTTATTATTTAAGTAAATCCGTGGGGAAGCGGTGCCCGAGAATGTTACATCTGATCCTGCAGATTATTAAGAACGGCTGACATGGATACGCCAGCTTACTGAATAGGTCAATGACAAGCACGTATAAGCTAATCTGGGAGTACGACGGGGAACGATTAAACCAGGATAAAGTAGGAGAGATCCAATACCGAAACAAATCTTCGCCGAACAAACTGTTCGTTTCGTGTGCCAATATTCGAAATAGAGCCCCCACACTGTGACTTGTTAGACGATTCTTGTGCATAAACTGTAGAAGTACAAGAGTGCGAGCAATACAACCACAATATATTCATAAGGTTGCGTCACTGAAACATGGTCAGAGGCTGCCATGATCCTACACAGAAAATCCGAGAACAGAGCCAACTAGTTTCTGCCTAGGTATGGTATGAAGTTCTCTACCGTTACCCATTGAAATCTCGCGCCTCCGGTAGATTAAACGTCCTGATGGAAAGAACTCAGATGGTTTGAAAGCCAACCCTTACATCCAAACAAACCATCAACAGGACAACGAACGGAACAGCCTGAGCAAACTTGTCCCAGGTTTATTGCATCCATCGAACCAGCAGTGTTTCTACCAGCCCTTCGATATCGCAAGAATATCCGTAGGACCAATCGTAATTATGCAGTTCTATCTGACCTCAAGTGAGTGGTCAATCAGGACGATCTGTCTTTACTAACATCTGAAATGTATATATGAAGCCGGGCATTCACAGTGAGCACCACTTGTTGATACGCGCTGCGGGTGTCAATATGTTCGGGGATGAAACGTCTGCAATCTGGTTGTTAAATCCGGTGAGCGCGTAAACCCTCACCCGGAAGGTGTCCAAATGGTATGCATCTCAAATGATGTTTTATTTACGTTGCTGTTAACCAATTTGTCTCGATGGTCCAGAACATCAGTGTAGTCGTGGCGTCGTTGATCTTGTGTGATTCTCATATTACTACATAAGACGGAGAGGTTTGCTTGGTGGCCATGCGGTGTGATTGATAGGGCCGTATTCCAGTCAGCACGCTCTCGAGCCGCGTATCTGGATAACTTCAGACGGTGGGGGATAGCACTGGAAGGTCTTCTAGTTCCAATCGCCTTCCCATCCCCACATCAATGTCCGACTCTATTAGAATGGACGATTTCGTATGTGCTTTCCCATAAGACGCTGTTGACCTATAGTTTCTCGCTGAGGAGAGAGTGTAGGCAACATTAACTTTGTCATCTCCAAAACCTTCCGAGAAGCAGCTTCGCTGTTTTTTCCGGTTATATCTGCGATTGTGACTTTTTTTGTTCTCCTTCGATTCCTTTGAAAGGATCGCTCCACCATGCCATTCACCGCAAAATGGTGAGGTGTATTTCAGGGGTTTTGCAACTACGGCGTTGGAGTAAGGTTAGTTGATCGCTACTACGGAGCTGTACTCTGTCGTCTGCGCCTCTCACTCCCGCTAATCCCAAACAGCCAACTTGTTTTTTGAGTCAGTTCAGCGTCACGGAAAGGAATACTTGGTCACATACGGAGTTCTGGCCGCTTACTGCAAAACATGTTGCTCACGGCAAATTAATCCTCTTTACGGCGTTCGGACTGAAGGGACTCAATTTGTGATAAGATATTAGAAACCATAGCAATACACTGAATCTTTCATCAAACAATTTCTTGGTACTCCGGCCGTCGCAGAGAATAATCCGAGGCACCCTATCTGCTGCATCGATCAGAGTAGATAGGGGTTTGGATGCTACTGTTCAGAGCTCGTCTTCATACTCCCCTTGCACTTTTTCATCCATATTGTTACCTTCTAACCTCCTAATTTCAACTTACACGCAAATATGGAGCGTCATTCCTGCCCTGTCGACAAGTCCATGTCTATCCAAACGGACAACGTCACTTCATCCGTTTTTATTTGGAGCCCTTGATTTTCCCTAAGACTGACGTACCTCAGTGTACGCACTTTGTTGCAGATTGGCCAAGGGTAGCACTTGTCCGAACACTACCGACTTCATTGGTAAACATCTGTTTATCAGAATCTGCCTGTAATATTCAAATTCGGTGATTACTCTGCGATCATCGTCATTTTATCATTGCGTTTGTCTGGAGATGATGCAGCTTCAAATGCCAGTCAAGGTGTTGTGGACATTGTTTTGAATCCCAGAGCTGAAGCTGTCGTGATCGATTGAATCAGTCAACAGCTGGATGTGCGCCGTCAGATTGGCTGGCACGTTCTAGGCTATGAAGTCGCGCGTGGACCAACGGTGCCCGTTTGCCATTGCGGCTTACGCGCCCACCAATTGTAGCGCTGACTCGAGAGATGCATCTTATCACCATCTGAACGCGTTCCTTCGTTACAAGAAAAGTACGGATACTGTGGTGCTTTCTGGTGATTTAAATGCTCAAATTGTAAAATTGTCCACCGATAAACTTCATCCGAGTGACCAACATGGTGTAGGCTTCCGTTATGTTAACGCTGTGCGATTACTGTACCTGTGTGAACACTAACACAGCACCTGCCTAAGAGTAACATAGCACCCACTCGCCTCAAACCAGTCGTGAACACAAATCGGTCACATCGCGATCATTTACCGCTGGAGAGGCTGTGCCCAAAACTGGCGCTCGGTTTGGAGAACGAGCGTGGACTCCAATCACGTACCTCTGTGTGCCACAATGCGGGCGCTTCTCGGCGGACGTCCGCAGCGGCGCTGTGAGTGTATAGACATTTGCGAAATCAGATTTTCAGACTGCACATCAAAGTACACTGGCATCCGATTTATGCAGTCGATCGCTGAATGTTACTGCTCGCATATCCGCCAGTCGTTATTGGCAGCAATGCCTTTATGTGGCAAATTTTCAACCGGCATATTGGATCTCTACGCAGTCTGAAACTTCTGGATGCTCGCCGACTTGTTCCGGCTGAGATTCGCCAAGACCTCAGGACGAAACTGCGTTCCGGCCTGAAGAAAGACTGCGAAGCCTAGTGGCCTCATCATGCCTCGGAGATGGAGACAGCTGCTACCGTTGGTAACCATCTGATACAGGGAACGGACGGCAAAAATCGTGTTAGCGAGAGCATTTGGGACGAGAGCGGACAGCCGATCCACAGCTTGTCAAAGGGCTTGGGGCGTTAGGCAGAACACTTTGAGTGGTAATTTAATCAGTCACAGTTACCAGTTTCTCTAGCAGGCATTCATCGACCTTCTCCATGGACCGTCTCATTGGATCCACCCTCCCGCACAGAAGTCGAACGTGAGATCAAACTGTTGTAATTTAACAAGGCCACCGGAGCAGATAGGCTTCGTCCAGCCCTCTTCAAATCCAGGGGATTTGTTCTTATGGATGATTTGTATAATTTATTAGTGGAGCTGTTTGAGCGGGAAACTGCCCCATCAGACTGAGACCACCCCCTTATAGTCCCAAATTTCAAGGGAGGCTCACGTTCGGAATGCGGCAACCATAGACGAATCAGTCTGATCTCCATCGCTTCTAAGTTACTTGCCTCTGCCATCCTCCACAGATTGACTGGCACCTATGGAAGCCAAATTCGTGAGGAGCAAGACGTCCTTCGTCGAGATTGGGGCTGAATTGACCATATCTTCACATTAGGTCAATTGTTGAAGCACCGCCACACCACCGTGGTCGTGTTCCTCGACATGAAAGGTGCCTTCTATTCGGTGGATCGATGTGCCCTTTGTGACTGTGTTCTTAGGAAAGATGTTCTCGATAAATAGATAAACATTATGAGAGCGCTTTTCTCATATATTTCGGACAGAGTGAGGATTTATGGTAAACTTTTACCGCCCTTCAGTATCTCCAGCGGTATGCAACAAGGTTGTCCACTGTCACCTTTCTTCTTTAACTTTGCTATTAACGAAGTCATGGAAACAGTCTTCGCTACTTCCTGGTGAGCAACTTCTCGACTTGGAGTATGCGGATGACATTGCCCTCATATGTGACAGCGTCCAAAGTGTCCAGCAGCACTGGACCGATTAGCATTTGCTGTCAATTCTTTTGGGCTATGCTTTGCTTCTTCGAAATGCGACGCCGTTCTGCATGTTTGGCAAGGGTCTACCCCTACGGTGCCCCTCGCTTGGGCTTATATAGCAATTGTTCAGTCATTCATACCTAGATAGCTATATTAGTGCCTGTGGGATCGAAGATGAGGTTACGAACCGTATAGCAGAAGTTTGAGGTGCTCTTGCTTATCTCCGCTACCTGTGGCGCAAACGCGACATCACTCTCGGTCTAAAGGGTAAGGTTTATAATGAAAGCGTCCGTTCAACCCTCTTATACGGTCGTGAGACCTGGCCCATCGGGTCGATTGACTTAAGGAGGCTAGCTACGTTCGATCATAGTTGCCTTCGCAGCTTAGTTCACATCCGGTGGGAGCACCGTGTGACTAATGTGAACGTGTTCGACATCACGTGTTTGGTGCAGGAAGAGCGAGTGATTCGCTCGGCACCATTATATCACGCACCAGTCTCCGATGGCAGGGCCACGTGTTGCGCATGCCAGTACACTGACTCCCGCAATATGCGTTGTTTGCACGCCCCTGGGTCTGGATGAAAGAAGAGGAGGCGAAGCAACGAGCTGGTCACGAAGAATGAAAAGCCTTACTTCTATGTTGTTGTTGGTTGGTACATCCCGACTGCCTGGTTGGGGTCCGAAAAACGACGGACACACACGCACATTTGCTAACATGGCTAGGAGCGGGGCCTAATGGTGTGTTTTGAGTCATTTTGCCCCGCCCCTCCCCTCTAGCCTCCCTCCCCAGCGGCGATGTCATACCTAGTGCAGTGTGTAATGTTTAGGATGATGCACCTTTTTAGTTTTTATGTTTAGTAATGTTTCCTATCTTAATTTTTGTAGATTGGCGCGTTAGCTGAGGTGTGTTTCTTAACCTCTTCTAACGTAATGATTCTGAGAGCAGCCGGCTGAACCATAATCCCAAGCCGAATGGCCAACTTGCAGAGGAACTCTTCGTTCGTGCGGGTGAGAATCGGTCAGGCCTGTGGATCGGAACACGTGGAGTACGTTATGTCGCCAAGCCGAGCAATTCAGGACCGAACAACCAACTTGCCAAACAACGATCCGTGCGCACCGGTGAGAATCGGTCAGGCCCGCGGTGCGAGCTGTGGAGACACGGGAACACTGTGTTGTCATTTTGAGCCATCCTACATAGAAACATCAACGGATGAAACTTGTGATGAGTTTACATCGTAAGAACGCTTGTATTATTTATGCCGAATAGTTTTATGATCGCAGCCCAACTTGATTTGTGCTCTCAGAAAGCTACTCCACAAATGACCGTGGTTTTATTGACCCATCATCTCACTGGATACGATATAGGCTGTATTGAGGCCTCAAATTTGGAAGAACATTTATGCACGGACAAGGATGGCAGCTCCACGCAGGGGGCTTCAATACAATCCGCCACGCCGTAGTTAAAGTCGTGCTCAACTCGACAGGTCTACAAAACCAACCCAATCTCAGGCTGTTCGATGGTGTATACTTACTGTGATTGGGGAACACAATTGAGCTGTTATACGTCTCCTGAAGCTACTTCTGACAGCCCCCAAGCAGATCCAATGTGGACAATGCAATCAACCAGGCTTCATCTACTCTCCACAGTCATGAGTCCATGACTTTAGCGCAGTACGAATGATTAGTATATGCAAAAACAGACTGACTTGAGGAAACCAGTGAAATGGACTGATGCGGATGAAGGACGCGCAGTTCCCAAATCACCCACCACTGATACGTTGGGTATGATGGTGCGCAGCGAAACGGAGAGTCAGAACGTACCGCGAAGTGCGCAAAGGGGACCAATTTCCACGTTCGAACTATCCTGATATCTAGACATGGGTTCTCTAAAGCACAACTCATCTGCACCACGTCGCGTTCTTCACGCCCCAAGCTGTCTTCCATTCACTCCAGTGCTTTTTGGATCGATCTGTTGAGTTAAACCTCAGAACTAGAGCACCTCGGGAGAAACCAGCTTGTCGAAACAGGCCTCCAAGGAATATCATTTACCCACATGTCCCGTCTCCAATGCTCTTTCTTCTGGCTTTCATACTCGCGAATTCCAACTACCTTCATTGACTAATAGACGAGAGACTACCGCTGAGTTCGCAACTGACTCCCGCGATAAGCCTAACTCGTTCTTCAAATAATGGGTCTCATTTCACCTTGGTCCCTTTAGTGTCCGCATTCCCTGTGAAATCAACCAGCAGAAAGGAGCAACCCGCTTCTGACAGAGTGAATGTGTACTGTGTCCCTGACACATGGGTACGTGATTGCAGCGTTGTAACATAGGTTAATACCTATGGGAACCTGTCATAATGGTGACTACTTTTGCGTCTGTGCCGGTATTGCTCTCGACACATATGCTGAGGTAATTGTTACTAGTAAATGCCCAAGTGGGTCGTTTATTGAATTGGACAACACTTGAGAAGTTGTTTTAGAGCCGATGCGTTGACCATCATTGACTTTTCTATCACCAGCACCAACTTCCAGCACAAGCATTAAGCTTGCGTCACCTGGTGCCCACCGAGTCTTGCAATCATCAGCATGCTGCACATCAGTGCCCCAGTATCCATCGGTTTGGAATCTGTGTCAGGATTCTTATTTTGACATGATCCGCTCGCGAATATCCCCTACCATTCCTGCCAAACCGAAGCGCCCAACTTCTAGGCTCCTCAGTCGTAATCTGGACACACAGTCTGCAGTGAAGCATTATCACTAAGAACTGACTCTCCAGTTCTTTCTGAGGAACCAGGTAGGAGATCCAGGGGCCAAGTGTGATTGTCTCAAATGCACCATGAAGTCTTCTTTCTGAGTCATTTATCGAGCTAACTTGCGACGCTAACTTTCACTGTCTTCTATTCCTTTCTTGTGATTTTACTTTTCAACAATATTTCTCTTGCCCGTTACAACTGCATGACAGCAATGTGTCGGTGCATCATGCTGTTTGCTGCTGTCACTGATTCTTTTGCATCATGGCCTGTGCTCTGCTTTTATTTGTTGTCATTGGGCTTATCATGGTCTATAACCTGCTTCTATTTGTGTTTCATGATAGTCGTGAATGTGTCAATCTTTTTCTATCTATCTTCTTCTGATATTGTGTATACCGTGTGGTTGCAACTTACGCCTTCCAGTCATAGAGCTCGCGCACCGTTTGACAGTTTTCCATGGCTTGTACAGTTTTACAACTCTAATGTACCTTTGCGTCTTCATTTGGATCATAGAACTGGTCTGTGACTCTAAGGATCACAAGCCTACCTTTTAATATGCGGTCCCAGGTTCGGGCCTGCGCTTGGGACCGAGTGACTCTCACAGTATCCGTAATCCACGCGCGACTGTTGGTGGTTGCAGGACAGCGCTTCTACGGTAGTGCGTACCGGCGTACTGCTGTTGTAGTACAAGTCTGCGGAAGACGATTAAGGTGTCTCGTTTGAATTCCAAACTCCGACGGTCATTGTTTCTTTCGGATATTACCTTTGCAATGTCGAATTACTGCAATACTCCTCTTGCCTATTTCTCTCTGTATCGCTTGGTTTCAGGGATTTGATACCAGACGGCTGGATTTCCAAGAAATCACAAAACGCTTGGTTTCCGCCGAAAAAGACATTATGAACATGCTGTCTAGGCCGGAGAGTGTGTTGTTACAGTTGATTCATTCCATGGTGACCAATTTACTCAAGGTGAGCAATCGCATTGTTCACTCTCATTCATCTCTCCACCAATATTACGACCTGAATTCTGTGTGTTTTACTTAAAAGTATTATCGCAATGCTTGTCTCCGGTCCCTGACTTCCATAATCGTTACCGGACTCAACGTATGCGTAGCAACTACTCAGCTGACATTGGCAGCCCGTGTACTAGGACTCAACCGCCGCGGATTTTTTCACACGCACTGATAACTGAACATACTGGGAACATAACATTTGGCCGGGACTCTCCGTAAAATTCTTGCAGTCACAGCTATACTTGGGCCATTTATTAAGTAGCTAGAACGCGCCTATGACCGTTGTGGGAAGTGTTATTTCAAACGCCGGAGAGTTGTCTGTTCCCTATCACCGGGTTCGTCCCCCTTTATAGTCTATGTTGCTGATGTCGGCCGTCGGCCGAGTCATCTGCACGCCTCGCTTACACTCATAAGGTCACCGGTTCGAATCCGCGTAGGGTCAGGCGTTCTCGCGGTATACTCAGCCCACGCGCGACTGATGGTGGTGGCGCGGCAGCGAAGTGCCGTTAAGGCGTATAGCTGACATCTTATTCTTACTTATTATGACGTTTACTTCCAGGTAATCCTCGGCCCCCAGGTAATGTTGCATATGGCGCAGCAAACACACAGCAGTTGGGCTGGAAAATTGTGCTCTACATTAGATCGTGTTGCATTCAACTGCCCCGACCCCATCGCGGAATAGGGATAAGAAAATAAATATTAATTAACGAGAATTCAGGTAAAACAGTGGGTCCCCTTCAGCCATTTCGTTAAGGCAGAGAGAAGACAGAGTGCGATATGTCAACATTCCGATTGTTCTCTTCAGTCGCAAACACAATGCGAGCAGAAACACACAAGGGGTTATATACATGGAAAAAATAATCACCACCAATCAAAATGTCACAGTCAAGACCATGGCAACCGAATTGATTGCCTCAAGAGTTTCTGTGTACGTAGCACAGGTTGATAGGTTTTAATTAACAATGCCTCACTAATTGCCAGCATTATCGGGTTTTTGTTACTCAATAACCCTTTGAACGCTGTCTCGGGGTTCACGTGATGACGAGTTGTCATGTGGTGCTTGGTGATAGACGATACCGGGCCCCGATTGATTCTCAGATTCGTCCCATGTTGTTGCGTAATCACTTGTCCCAACCACTTTGGCAAATGTTCAGCTACCCTCTGAGCTAACTGACGGTTTATTCTGCCTATGTAAATGTCACCGCAACCGCAGGTGAACTGATAAGCAACGTGAGAGACCGAAATGCCCGACGAGATGCTCTGACGGTTATGAAGTGCAAGTGGTTGAGTGGTATGCCTGAGTCGCAACTGGGCTGTCGTGTAGGTTCGCGTTAGGGCAGACCTGAGCTTGTGTCCGATGTCATTTGCCACATGGTCCCCCTTGAACGGCAAGAAAATAAACATCCTTTTTCTCAGCCATCAACACCGGTGTTTTCACGCTGGGAGGTCTGCTGTGTACCTGAATAAACTTCTCAGGATATCCACTAGAAATTAGGGTCTTGCGTAGAAATTATTCTTCGGCTTGTAGCGTTTCGGGGCTGCAAATACGCCTAGCCCGGTAGAAGAGAATTCTCACTAAGCCGCGTTTGTATGCGATTGGGGCGAAGCTTGAAAAATGAAGGTACTGTCCAGTCCAAGTCGATTTGCAGTGAACACTGCGTTGCAACGTACCTTCAGCCCGTCTCCTAATGAGTATGTTCAAAAACGCCTGGCAATTGTGTTGTTCCACTTCATGGGATACAGAGATTAGGGTGAATCGAATTTAGGATGGTCAGCAGCCAGTTAAACTGTTCTCAGCTGGTGAAGACTAAAATGTCATCCACATATCGTCGGTACAATTCCAGAGAATTCGGACAGAATAGATATAAAACCCAACCATTCAAATGATTTTGTTTAATATTAGGAATATATATTCAAACAGAGAAGCGCGACTGACTTCATGGCCGAGCCACCACTGGTCATTTTAATGGTCGGTCCTACCCAATTAACTTCGCCTTTTGAAGTCTCTTCACACTCCTTTGTTGCGCCCTCGATTATCCACATTAAGACTTCACTCGACAATTCACAGTATTGTTAGTTAACGTGCGCCAAGATGTTCTGTTAATAGAGGTTACTACAAGACCCGAATGTGAATTGCTAAACATCGGTGCCCAGCAGCATAGTCTGAAGGCACCTACAAGAAATTTGTGTTTTTGGCTTTAGTTTAAACCACCCTATTTGTGCCTAGAGAATGCAACGATGGACACAATCAATTGCGAAGCACAGTGTTTCGCTCCAGAAGCATTAAAAACGGAACATCAAGAGTCAGTTTCCCTTCCAATGCCAGAAGTTTGACATGAAGCGTAACGAGTGTTTGCTTTGCCACACTAGCGTTATCCCTATCCTTCATAGATCGACGACGTCATCGTCTTAGGTAAATCGTAAACGTCTCTTTTTTCTTTTCAGTTATCCACAAAGCGTCTACGCAGTACCGATGGGTAATATCCCGTTCTATTTTTTTGGTGATGTTCGCCTGCCAGTGAGCATTGCTTGCGTTGTTAAAAACCGAGTTACGCAAACTTACTCTGCAAAAAGCAACTGTGAAATGTATACGTTACCGATCAACATATAACGGGATCACTTGCGCATAACAAAGGAATATCACATGTGCTTGTGTTTGAAGACTACTGGCCTGATGGTTCAAGCTTGTGGCCTATGATCCGGACGCCGTCAGTTCTAGCCTACGTAGGTGCGAGTGATCGCGTAGTATTCTTAACCCGCATGCAACTGCTGGTATTCGCGTGACAGTGAAGCGTCCGTATGGGGTACTGGCGTGATACTGATGCCTAGTGCTGTGATTTTCACACTATTCTGGTCGCTGCTTACTTATTCACCATAAGCAACTTTGTGAGTGCAGCTTCTCGCGAAGCTGAAAACTCTTTTTTTACCTAGACGTTACCTTATTTGGACACATATTGGTTGTATTTATCTCCACCTTCAAATTGACTGTGTTCGCTCTCTTCTGACAGGACGAGTCAGATTCATTACTGCTTCTCCTCTGTGTTCCTCTAACTACCCACCCGCACAGCCACATATGGACAGTCGTATCAAGCCCGGAGCGGACGCCGACACCTTCCTCACCAACCTTTACACGGAGTACCAAAAGTTCGTCCCACATTTCCTGAAGTGCTACGATATTCATTCTACCTATTTCCCTTAGTTAAGTCCCCATCGTGTTACACTCTCTCTTTCAGTGCATTTACCCATGCTTTCTGATGCGCAATCGACATCACTCTTGGCTTTGATTCAATAAGCCCACTTTGCCGAACTCTTCTATTTCTGTGAGCTTTAAATGGTTAATGGCCCCACAATATCGTACATTTTTTCTGTCGAATATGACACATTCTGCCTCCATACTAGATGTTCCTACAACAGTTACCGTCTAGATGATGCACTAATTAACAGCCCTTACGCGGCATTTTAGATATGTCGCTATTCGTACCAAGCATATTACGTTAGCCCTCAGGTTGACGCCCAATAGGTGTCACTGGTCTTGACGTGGGCGGCATCCATTCCTTTACTAGCAAGTGACATTTGGCCTTCCCATAGTGTCAAGTGCCACTGGCAGTTCCGAAAGTCGTGAAACTTCCCTTTCGGTCTAGATACCACAAAAATAAAATAATCGTCAGCTGTACACCGGGACGGCGATTCGATGCTGTGCGACCACCACCAGTCGCTTCTGGGCTGGATTCGAATCGATGACCTCATAGTTTCAAGCCAGGTGTGCAGACCACTCGGCCACCGGCCGGCGTGTCGTTTGAGGATGCCTGCTCGGCTACAGCGCTGGCAAGTAGCATGAGCTAGTAAACTTCGACTCTATTGGCCCCATGTCTTGGCGGTTACGTAACATGTGCACCTGAGGATGAGCACATCTTAAATGAGGTGCCAATCCGCTTTGAGTCAAATAAGCTTTTAGTATTCGTAGCACGCGGCTGTCGAGCCCATTTTTCAACCCTGATATTTGCTTCTCCTCAACCACCGCCAGATGCTAGTAAGCAATTTACTCAACTATGCAGCTGCTCAAATTTCAGTACATTTGTCACTGTGTAAGTAGCTGCTTACATCTGAACAATCTGTGATGTACATCATTTCTAATCGTGTCCCCTGACGTTCCAGCATTACATGCTTGTGAACACAGTACACACTGCACTGAATTGAACGACCAGCAACTTCAAAAGATCACTAACTGTTCATGGCTATCGTCACCTTTGCCACCGCGGGTGCATATTTATGCAATCGATAGACCACCACTAGATTAGTTTTCAGTGCTCGCGGCTGTTTTTTTTCTCGTGTGAATAATAGTGGTAGGTTACCTTTTCTCACTGTTCTGGGAGGGTCTTTTCTTTACAGAACTGGCCACCAAACAGTAGGAAATAACTAATATTATGCTCTGGTTTCATGGGATTGTAGAGAGTAGAAGGAAAAATCCTTTGTCAGCTCCACCGCTTCCCAATCATTGTGTGGAGGCCCCGATTCGTTGCTAACCGGTATTCCACAAGTGACCGTGACAACTACAGTGGAAGTTGCAAGCGCCCGTCGTACGCAAAAGGTTAGAATCCAACATTCGCTTGAAACATTCCTCGGTCTGGGCATCGACCACATGCTTCGGTAAGTCGATCCAGTCGTTGACTATGCAAATTGTTAAAGCGAGACGAACGCGGTGCCTTCTAGGTTTAAACAATTTCCAGTTGTGGCCTCGAGTTGAACTGTTTGCATTGAATTAAAAGAAAGCCTGCAACTTCGTCCCTATCTCTGCTCTCAGATGCGACTGGTGAGAATCAGGTCACGGCGACGTCGACGATAATCCAGGGAGAGCAGGTTCATGCGCTGAAGCCTCAGGGGATAAGGCAAGTCCCGTAACTCCAAGATGTATTTCGATCCCGGCCGTTGGACCTTCTCAATGAGGCCACATTCGAACTTCGTGAGAGGGAAGACGGCAGGTCATCCGTATTCGAGAATGGGGCACACATGGGAAGTAAACAAGAGTCGGAATATTTCCGGAGTCAAACGCGAGAAGGCTCTTTGTATGGCGTGGGACATCCTGTTGGCAGCAGCAACCCTTCGTAACTTGTTCTTTGTAGTCCGTAGATCAGATAACACCAACACACCGAAGTCTTTTTCGATGATTGAGGTTCTGAGCAATGTGGTACGTCCCGAAAGCCTCAGAAGCACCAATGGGGAGGACCGAGCACTTATCGCGATTTATGGGTACTCATTATTTGATTGACTACTCATGTAACATATCAAATGTAGCCTGTAATCGGTCTGCATCGTCAAGACAGGATACCTTTATCCACAGCTTCAAGTTATCAGCGTAAATCAAGCAATCCGACGGGAGGTCATTGTTGATGAACTTAAAAAGTTATGGGCCCAGGACCGATCCCTGCTGGACACCGCTAGTCATGAGCATAGGAGCGGAGTAAGTCTCGTTCAGGTTGACTCGCATTGTCCGGTCATCTATGAAATCGACGATCCAAGGGAGAACATTCCGAGAAACACCGATTCCTCCTTGTTCATAAAGGAGCCTTGTCAAACGCCTTGCTGAAATCGACAAAAACAACATCCAGGCGTTTCCCAACGTCAGATGATTTCGTCCATCTTTCACTGGCCACAAGCAGATTCGAAGAATATGAACGTGCCGCCGAAAACCATGCTGCGCACAAGAAACGACGTTTAGGTTCTCGGGGTGGAGAAGAGGTGCCCGCTTGGAAATCCTCTCCATTACCCTGCGCAATATTGACGTTAAGCAGATGGATCGATACTTGGCAGGATTTTGACGATCCTCTCATTTGTGTATGGGTTTAACAATCCCCCTTTCCAAGCAATCGAGAGCCGTCCAATTTCAAGGGAATGCCGAAATATCCGGCAAACAGGAGCAGCAATGTAATCGGCCACAGTCTTGAGGAACAGCGAATTCAACCCGGCGAGGAGGACGGATTTAATTCACAAGTGCCTTTGGCATCGACATCAGCGCTCATTTCTACATGCTCCAACGGAGAGGGGTGTATTGGCGTCGCGTCACTGGGAAACGGCGTCTCCACCGATTAAACAGATGAATATTACATGGCCAGGAGACTGGGTTTCGCAGCGTCATCGTTAATTAAACCGACATGCGCCAAGGAATACAGGGCAGGAATACCACTTCCTTCTCTGGTACTTCTCTTCAGGTAGGAGAAGTGTCTTGGGAGTCGTCTTGGATTGCACAGCCAAACCGAGTTCGTACTTGTGCCATTTATCTCCACTTTTCAAGCTGCAGATATTCCTGACCACTTTATATTTCGTATTGTCAGACTCGCAGTGCGTCAGCTTGAATCGAACACACAGTTTCCGCCTTTTGTTCATTAGGTCCCTCAATTCTCGATCAATCCATGGAGGACCTCTGGAAAAAGGTCTTCTGTAGACAGGAACGACCTGCTCAACCAGCGAAATCATTTTGGAGTACAAGAGGTTTCACTCATCATCCAGGTCCAGGGGTTCGGGTATACTTCAGTCCACAGCATTGCGAGCAGGAGACTGTACCGACAGACTGGAGCCATTCCGTCATTGTCCCAATTTTCAAATGAGGCTCCCGTTCGGAATGCGGCAATCATAGAGGGATCTGTCTGATCTCAGTTGCCTCTAAATTACGTGTACCTGTCTTTCTGCGCAGACTGACTGACACCCGTGAAAGCGAGATTCATGAAGAGCAAGCACCGAGCACATCTTCACCTTGCGTCAATTGTTGGAGCACCGCCGTGTTTATTGGCGACCCACCGTTGTCTTGTTTCTTGCCATAAAAAGTGCCTTCGACTCAGTTGATCGGTGTGTCCTTTAGACTGTTCGCTGCGGAAAGGTATGCCTGGAAAATATGTAAACATTATCAAAGCGCTGTAGACTCATACTTCGGACAGAGTGTGGGTTTATGGCAGACTGTCGCCACCCTTCAGTATCACCAGCGGTGTGGGACAAGGTTGCGCGCCGTCACCTTTCCTCTTTAACTTCGCTATTGATGAAGTCATGGAAACAGCTTTTGCTGGACACGATCTAGAAAGTGGGGAGCTATTTCCTGGTGAGCGACTTCTTCACTTGGAGTACTCGGACTATATTTTCTTAATCTATGACAGCTCCCAAACATGTCAAGCAGCACTGGACCGAATAGCACTGGCTGTCTATCGTTTTGGGCTCTACATTGCTCCATCGAAATGCAAATTGCTTCTCCAAGATTGGCAGGGACCCACTGCTGCGCTAACCCTTGGTGGTGATCAGATAGAAGTCGTTCAGGAATTCAAGTACCTGTGCAACTATATTAGCACCCGTAGGATTGAAGATGAGGTTACGAAGCGCATAGCAAAAGCTCGAGGTGCTTTTGCCAATCTCCGCCGTCTGTGGCGCAGACGCGACATTAATCTCACACTGAAGGGCAGAGTTTATAACGCAACCGTCCGTTCAACTCCTATATGGCCGTAAAACCTGGCCCATCAGGTCGACAGACATAAAGAGGCTCGTCACATTCGATCGTCGCTGACTTCGCTGCTTAGCTCATGTCTGATGGGAGCACTGCGTGAGCAATGAGCGTGTTTGGCGTCGCGTATTTGGTGCAGGAAGAGCGAGCGAACCGCTCAGCACAATTATATCACGCACCAAACTCCGAGGTCTCGGCCACGTGTTGCGCATGCCAGCACACCGACTCCCGCGACGTGGGTTGTTTGCGCGCCGGGGGTGCGGTTGGAAAGGAGGCCAAGCGATGACTTGGTCGACAGAAATGAAAACCCTAACTTCGAAGTTGGCGTCGGTTGATGCATCCCGACTGTGTAGCTGGGGTCCTAAGGACGGTGAACACGTTTGGTTGGACACAGTTGCTGATATGGCTAGGAGCCGGCCCCAATGGCATGTGTGTTGTGAGTTCCATTGTCCATTCCCTCCTGCTTAGCATACCCTCCAATCACGATATCATTCTCTAGGCACAAAATACCTCTTTTTTACGGCACGATAGCCGGCTGTTGTCTCTCCGGAACGATGTCCATTCGTTACTGGGGACTCAGTCGGCGTGCCGCTGTTGTATTTTTTTCTTCTTGTCTTTAATATTACGGCCCAATAACAGTTGTTTTCCACCTGCACCTAAGGTGTACAATGAATGACACCATTGGCGACCGTTTCCGTTATGCATGATTTGTGCGATCATAACTGGAGTAGATAGGCTTTGCGGCAATAGAGGGACAAAGATGGGACAACACCGCTAAGGTGGACTCATGACCATGTCAACATGTGTTTGCAACTGCGGTGGTCCCCACCTCTATTTAACGTGATGCCAAACGGTCAGTTATCCACTTGCGTGTGTTGCGGGAGAGGACTAAAACTGGTGGACACGCGTTTCTCTCCCGTTCGGGCCCTTCAACTTGGACCACTGTAGCGAGTCCTACTTGTTTGAAATTCATGTGCACTGGTGTCTTAGGAGAGGATCACCTACGAGCACACAATTGGCCCCGGAGTACCTGGACAGAGTTCATCTACTCACAGGAGTTGCGTACAAATGAGTGAGTTCATGAAACGATGCAGAGAGCATTTGTCCACTGGAGATGACACATACACATAGAGTTTAGGCACTTGAATTAGCTAACCGGACTATAGAAATGATCGATTGCCACTGCCATAATGAATATTATGTTCTGCTCCACACATTGATGGTGAGTAGAATCCGTAGTAAGCCTGGATAAACAGCTCATTTATTGTACCTTTGGTGTTGCGGTTTATCACCAGTCACACACACACACACTTAAGACTCGTGTATTATGCAGCGGCTCAGCCACATAACTTCTGCTCCCAGACAAAGTATTTATATGGGGTTCACAGTCATTAACCGAATGTACTGTGACAACGTCCTCCTCCTCCTCAGCAAAACACTAGACAACTTAGTACCTATTAACAGTCTGTCGGGTTTAATCGTTGACGCACAACCAGCTGTTTGTGAATCCATCTGTATCTTCGTCCTATGATTGTTCCCAACACGTTTCTCAGTCCAACTGGACGTTGTTCCAGTATTCCCTGTCATGCATGGCAGCGACACCGGATCAATCACTTCGCATTATTCTCGGTCTTCTGGTCAAACAGCTTGCTGGAACTGTTGTGGGTCGTGTCAAACCCTATACTCCCCACGGTGATCCGAAGAAATAGAAAAGAAACAACTAGTACTTTTCTAAGTGTTCGCTTTTAACAATCTTATTCCTAACGTCCATTCCCATTTCACCCCCCTATTTCCGTCCAATTGATTGATTCTACTTCTCTCCTTTTCTCTTACTAGTATGGATCGACTGGTTAAAGAGCTTTCAAACGAGCTCACCCTCATCACTGATCCTTCGCAACTTTCTAAGCTTTTTACCGTGCTATTTTCGGACTATCTGAAGATCTACATGCGCCGTGAAAGAGAATGCCTTACTAAACAACTGACCAAACACTTGGCGCAGTTTTACGAGTCGCGTGGACATCACAAACGAGCACTGCAAACCTCCGGGTATGTTTATCAGGTATTTGCCACCGTGTTTACATCGAGGTGCTTCAGTTTTAGACTTATGTACGCTAGATGTAGAATTTAGCGAACAAGCTTGTTTTCATGGATCATCATCAGACTAGTACAACCATAACTATATAGATCAAAAAGGAACACGTGAATTACACGCATCCATAAATCAAAATACCTCATCAATAAGGCTATGTGATTAATCCGACCTGTGCGGAGTCGGGGGGAGTGGTGTGGTAGGTCTGCTTACTTGTGTTGATCTGGGGTCAGGGTAGACAGAGCGTATGCACAAAATTCTTCTGTGCACATAACTCCGGGTTATGGAGCCGAATTGCAATTGCCTCTGCTGTCGACAGCAGACGGCATCTGACAGCTCTCCTGTGGCGTTCTGGCACACAGTAGATCGGTTGGAATGAATCCTTTATGTTGATTTTGTGGTTGGTCTCCACTAAATGTGACAATATTGCGCTCGTCACATTCTTCCTCACACCACTGGATAGCCAAGCGGGACAATGCTCTCAAGATCTTACGGACAGTCGCCTGGTCGTTTTTCCAATATATCTTGCTTGACACGTGCAAGGGAAATTGTACACACAGAAGGAAATTTGCGACCGGGGTATGCTTTCTTTGGGCTGCTGGCGCACAATTGGTGTGGAGATGAAGTCGGCCGCAAAGTACGTTTTGGCAGTGGCTAGGGTAAGCCTTCGGGTGGTTCGCTGCGTTATCACGTCATCCTTAAACGGCAACGATAGTAAGCGCTTCTCTACGAAAGCAGATTTCGTCTTCGTTACTTGCGGTTCCATGTACTTTTAGATGAATTTTTTTGGGTATCCATTACGTTCGAACACCCTTAGTTCCTCAGAAAGCGTGCATATTCGTCTCGCTCTCTCAGTGAGACAACGGACTAGATTACGTTTATGACTGATTTGAACGAAACTATGGAAGTGGGCGTATTGCCTATTCTAAGTTCCCTTTGTGTACACTCCCCTCCGCATTGTCCCGTTTGTTGCCCTATTAATCTAGATTTCTAGAAAGGCCAAGGAGTCGTCACTTTCTAGTTCCAGAGTAAACGTTATGTTGTTATGCGCGGAGTTGAATTGGGTCAGCAGATCTTCAATCCACACCTCGTCGTCCGCAACGCAAAAGATATCATCTACATATCGACTATAATAAACCAAACTGTTGATGGACTCCTTCAAGTGGCTGCTCTCCAGTTTGCTCATGAACACAGCCGCGAGTAACGGGCCTAACGGCGAACCCATGACCGCCCGTCTATTTGTCGGTAGTGATCCATTAACTTGAAACTGATGTTTCTCGTGCATGTCAGCAATAGTTGTCTTAATCCATCTGGTGGGATACCGACGTTGATGCTGTGCAACTGGATGAACTGACATAGATAGTCTACAGTCTCTTCCAGTAGAACATTGATGAAAAGTGACACCACGTCTAATGAAAATATTTTTCGCCCGGTTAGTTCAAGGTGTCTCACCGAGGCGAGAAACTCAAAGTGTCCTTGAGACTGTACCTGGCTATGGCTTTTCGGACTGGTTCCAGCCGTTTGACGAGCCACTTATATATACTTTTGTGGTGCTACCGTATGGTGCATAGTTCCCGCTGGATCGTTTATAATTTTGCACACTCTAACTTGGGTTACTATGCTCCGCACATAAGAAAAGACCGTTTACCTCCTACCATTAGTACGTTTCTGCGTTATTCTGACGGCTTTTAAATGCATAACTCATAGGGAACAGAAGTCTACTACTACTACTACTGGATACGAACTGACCTGTCGGTTCAAATTCGGAGGACGTATAAGCAGATAGGTTTAGTACTCGATTGAATGCGATCGGTAATGCAAAACAATCTTTGTCTATCGATGGGTTACAGTCACTGCTTTTATAAACACAGAGCAGCACTCACCGTTTGGTTCCGGAGTGCTCACCATGTGTTGGAATCGTGGTCTGCGATCTCATTTTGTAACCTGATCTACTTGGAAGTAAACTTTTGTCACTCTCATCACTGGGTTCGTTGTTGTCCTGTACAAACTGCACTCTATGAACAGGTCCGTCCTTTTTTAGCTATTGCATAGAGATAACCGGAGCTGAAAGTGGAGCTTGGAGCCCAGTGGCTAAAGGTCTGCGTCATGACCAATAAATTGCTAACCGCCATTCGTCACTGAGCTCAGTTGTCTGGTAAGAAAACCTAGGGTTCCCTTTCCAACTCCGGTTATCTCTGCCTTGTGAGTCCGGCCAAAGACACCGGTCATAGAGTGTAATGTTGAAAGCGCGCAACGCGGGAAACTGTTCACACGGTAGTGCTAATTATTCCGATGCCTCCGTGAATTTCTTTGTCCCTGTTTACATCGAAACAGACTCCTGACCGATCGCGCCTCTTGACTGCCTCCTTTCGTTGACAGCATTGGCTCACGTTTGCTAGGAGTGCGCGAACACTGTTCGAAAGAATCATTCTTCATTGATCGATCACTTTTAAACCCTCACACATTCACTAAAGGTAGTGCATTTCCAGACTTACTTATTTCACATTTCATTACGATATTTAGGTAGTCATCTCGGGGTTTCACCAAACCAGACGTATTGTTGCAAAGCAATGCACACCAAAGCAACCTACTCCAAACCATGCGGAGCACATTGCCCAGTCACCAAAGGCACTCCAGTGTGGCTCTTTTCACCAGACACCAATGACGGACTGCAGCATTACTTAGTCGGTTCTCATCCAATACACACAATTCAACACCTCGTATGCATCTCCCAATGTCCTTTGTGCTCAGCGCCAGGTCTCTAAACCGTGCAACGACATTGGCCGCACCACAACGTCATGAATTCTTCACTAGACCAATAAGCTTAATTCGTGTCGTTTTCATAACTGACCGAGCATTTGGTGAAAGACACACGAGCATAAGCGGTCCGTGCAGTAGCCTCTTCGGTGATATGATCGGCAGAGCTGTTACAGCTATTCGATCAACAAATTCGAGTTGTTATTCGATTGTACGAACTGGTGGTGGCTTGATCTATCCTGCAGAAGCATTTTGAAAGTCCAAGGTAGGTTCTAAAACGTGCAGAGCTTTGAATCAGCCTATTCAGTAGCGTTTGCATAGCAGTTCCCTCAGTCCTAAAGTGAGTTCTTTCTGCCGCATACTCCAGGTTGCACAGTTTCCAGATTAGCATCTATGTTTATTGCGACCTCACATTTGAAAAGAAATGGTCTTGACGCACTCCACTTGTTGCACTGAACGCAAAACATAGTTCCGTAGATCCTTTCACGGCCACGGGGGTCACATGTTAGACGTTTAAGAATGGGAAAGAATTTCTCTTGTACTCTCTTTAAGGATAGTTACTACCTCGAACTACTGTGCCCAGTATAGTCTAACACAACCTTCAAATGAAGAAACATTGCAATGATACGCTGTTTGTGTGCTTGTGCAGGATCACCTATCAAAGGGTAAAAATATGGTCAATATTTGATGCTTGAAAGGAAAGTAATCTAACTTCCGTTGACTCGTTCCTCAAAAGGATCAATAGGTTGACGCCGTATGTTGCACGTCAGTAGTTTGGGTTAATTACTGAGATCAAACCAAAACTAGGATGGCTTGCACAGGAAGTTCCTTGATTATTTTTGGAATGATGGCTGACAGCCTCTAGTGACGGGCTGAGCAGCGTTTCTGCTCTACAATACACCACTCGTTAACTGCCTTCATAGAAGTTGCGTTCTCCTTTGCTGTGGATGAGGCGGACCCATATCGCCGAGCATTCAACTCTAGACTCTCAGTGAGAAGTGGTCACGCGGACGTGGGGCGCATCTTAGCCGTAGTGAACGGAATCCAATGGGACTGGCTCTTCGCCCCACCTCCTCAACAATTTCGCTCGGCTTATTCATGGGGACAAATTATCCATCCTCAGGAAACTTATAGTATCCTGCTAGTCTTACTCTACTCGTGACCACAATCCTCTCACATGAACCGCATCGCTCGTTTTGTTCACAGTTTGGCTGATTTGAAACGCGATCTGAAGGTGAAACTTCACATCTCCTTGGATGGACGATCTGCGAACGACTACGAAGTGTCATTGCTTTCAGAGGAAGTCGCCGTGAATATTATTGAAGACGTACGTAGAGCTGCCAAGCGCTGTCTCCTGGTAAGCCAAACCATGAGTGTACTTGTGTTGTCTTCCACGTACCAATAAGCACAATATGCAATCGCTTTTTGGTACCCATCGGCGATACGCATCCTCTAGATTCCTTGCAAGATGGTACTCTTCTCTTTGAATTGTTAAAAGCCCACTTGAGTTGGTATCTTGTGATATAGTTTACTTTGTTCTGTGGCGTCTGCCTACCGCTGTTGTGGAGTGAACAACCTTGGTTCCAGGTACAGCAACATCACGCCTAATTTAACTTAACTCCACCACCGCATAGTTTGTCGCTTCCCGATTCATCCAGTGATTTTCTGTCAGTAACTCTTCCTCGTGACCTCCATTTGCGTCCACAACTGACGGCGGCACCATTTATCCCATCACTACGGCTTATCCTCATGTGTGTCTTGAAATTTGATCCGTGACAACGTGCCATTATTATTCGCCATACAGTACTACAATACTTTACTGCTAAACGAACCCGTTGAACGTGACCTGTTCCCGGCATGTAATCTGAATGGATCAGCCAGATTGAGGCACAATGGGATATTGCACACATTTGACTTATGCACTTAAACACCTAAACTGACCTGTCTGCATTCTTTTCACCACTCGTGGTTCGTTAACATTGCGTTGAGGCTAGGATGCCCACGTAGTTTTGGAAGCGCGCCGTTTGCAATCCACTTTAGACGCACTTACGATCTCTTCCTGCGCATGAATTTTGTGACGTGTCATGTTGCCTAATATGCTTCTGTGGAGAGAGCAACTTAATCTGGAACTGTAGTGTCTGAAACTTCCTTACACATACAATCCTAAGACCTTTGTTTGTACATATCAGTCTATTTGTTTAGCTTATATCCAACCACTGACCTTCTCGTTGGGAGACTTGTGTTCGAGAGATTCTGCTTAATTTCAAACTAGATTTGCGAAAGCAGCACTTAGTTGTCCGGAAAAGCACAGGGTCTGTTGATCATGTCACCCAGAGTACATTTCTGTCGCTCGTTGGGAAGGGGGTGGGGAACTAGGACCTGCTACTCCACCTTTGCGATCAAGCGTTAAGGTAACCGAACTGTGGGAATAACGATTGTCAGTATGATCAAGTGAGCGGATGCGATAAAATGCGACTTATATTCCCGCTGACACGGATGTTTCAAATCCACAGAAAGAGGTAACAGCTGAACTACAGTTGGAAGTGAGAGGCCCAATGAACTGACCCCATAGCCCCAGACCCCATAACGTCATTTGTGGCCTCTACCGATTGGCATAGTTGCTATTGATGTTGTCTGTATAGGAAGACTGTCCGAACCAGGAAACCCCGATCTTCTGGTCAGTTTCTTCGTCCTTACCATTCAGGATATGAATGCGTCCAAGGGGCATGGGCGAGCGATTTACTCATCCCGGTATCCCGGCGTTGATCGTACCACCATATCAGTTACATGAGAAACGGATGAGAATAGGATGCAAGGGACACTGAACTAATGGTCGATCAGCCCCATTTTTCAAACGTACTCGAGTTTGCACCGCTTGCATTGGTTTTTATGTATAAGAGTTATCCGTGAGTACTAAGATTCTCACTAGGTAAAACTGTATCACGGGTGGCTTTGTCTACTCAAAAGGTTCTGATCTCTTTTCTTAGGCAAAAAATGCGAAAGAAACACGTTCGATTCAACTTAAGGCGCTTTCCATATAATACACAAAGTAGACGTTTCCTAGTGTCATATTTTTACTCAGTCATCTCTGCAACGCTGTGTGACGCGCAGTTTTCTTTCAATGGCTTCCCTGACAGGTCACTGATATTGATCGAGTCGGCTGTGGACCACTTATAATGCTTGCTGAGTGGTTATGAGTCTCTCATTACACACGCACACACCGCCCGATGTACAAATGTTTTCTCCACTAATTTTCTCACCCTTGTCATCTCTTTTGCTTAGCTTTCACAACCCTCTGAGCTTGCTGAGAATGGCAAAATTCTGTTCAGCTGCCTGTACAAATTCCTCATTGTGGAACACGTGGATTACGGAGTCACACTGGCGCTGCATGGTGAGTTGTGCATGCTTTTCGCGTTGGTACTGTATAGTATGTTCGTCGCGTGCATGGTCTCCACATCAGAGTTCGAGGCGTTTACTGCTTCCTCACGTGTGGAATCGTTTTCCAGCTAACTTGTTATTGTATTCAGCCACCGTCAATATTGATGATAAATGAAAGACTGAACACAACACATGGCAATCGGTGGTTACAAGCACGACAACTGTGGCTGAGAGACCCGCTTTATCCAACCTGATTCATCTGTTCGATCCTATCTCCGTATGACGCACCCTGACGAGCAACGTTATCTACTAACCACCTTGACCATATTCGATCACCGAGTAACTTGGGAATTCACCATCCGGAGTTTGCTTACAAGCCCCCCCGGTGTCTATTCAACTCGAATTTCTTCGGTGATTCGGTCATGCACACTTTATCGGCAGGCCACCACACCGTGTTTGCCAATGCTGTGTCTAGTTGGATGACACTCGGATGCGAATTAAAAAAGGGATTACCAGTACGCCAGTGTGCAACACCGACGCTTTGCCGCCGCGCAACTACCACCAGTCGCAAATGGGCTAAGGATACTGCTAGGGTCGCCCGGTCCCTACACATGCTCTGGTTACAAGGCAAGCTTATGATCCTTAAGGTTACGAGCCGCACAAATGCTCAATAACAAAGCAGATAAGTATGGAGAAACTCGTCAAGACGCTGAGTCGGGTTGATGACTTTTACCTTATCGTATGGCGTAATCACGAGATCAGCGGCGTTCTTGCAATCGCTCTTGTATTTCTGATCTCTGTCCACTTCATCTGGCGACTTAATTTCTCGCTTATTCCTCCGCTAATATTCTTATTGTTGTGACACGGGTCTTGATAATTGGCTTTCACTGAATTTCAATGCATGGGCCTTGCTTGATAAACCGAATCGAACTGAATGGTTAACCTGTCCCTAGATACAGTTGTTTTGCACGGACACGGCGAGCGATTGTGCGTTAGACGGTGAACTTCAAATCAGATGGGCCACGCCAGCCATTTAGCTCAGTCGTACTTTTTCAGCTGCCGCAGATGCCTACGTGAGAATCTTGTGCACCGGTTTAGCGACAACCACGAAGTAATTCGCTTGAATACAGTAGTGTCGGCGGAAATTATCGTAAGGTCGTTGGCCGACTACTTGAATTCATCTTCGAAGATGTTGGCTTCATAGCTGAGTATAATATTCGCTTCAAGGCTCTCAGTTTGCAAAGTCAACGATCAGCAGCACTTCCTATCGTGGGTGATGTCGGTGTGTGGCCAGTCGAATATAACCCACACATCTGATGTCACTGTATGTAGTTATACCCTTGACAGCGCCATCTCAGTGAACATTCTCAAAAATGAAACGTGAGTTAACTTGACAAAGATCGGTGGGCTTTAAAAGATAGCGTTGCTCGTGTCGAGCGGATTACTTTGAGAAAACGACCAGACGATAGAGTGAGCAAACATTGTCTAGCGCAAGAGGCTTTTAAACCCATCTACTACAAGATAGGTGGAAACCACACATGAGTAGTCAGATGCTGCCTAGTAGCAGCGGCCTAGGCGGTTGCTATTCGACTCCGGACCTGTGCACGCAGCTACCATGGCCACACAATTTATGTCGTCTAACACCGATGACTATCCTCTCCGACAACTTCATCCCTAGCGGTGCGATCATATGACTATATATTGATTAGACAGTTCGCTTCGCTGAGTTGCGGCGTTCAAACATCCTGTGATGGTTTTATCTCTAGCTATCTATTGTCGTTTACAAATCTTGTGAGACATCGAAGACAAATTTGTACTCTTAGGGGACTTTTGATACTAAATTTCAGCAAGACGTTGCAGTGGACAATTCACTACAGCACTAACTGGTCCGGTTCCAAGTTCTAGCTGATTGGGCACCAGATGCTGTCGATGCTTCCTAGGCAATTGTGATGGGGAAGGCCTTCGAACCGCTATCTACCACGTAAGCTCTAGTACTTGCTCTTGGCTGGGGTACAGACTAGCTATTCGAGGATGTTGCTGGATTCGAACCGAAACTCACTCACTCGCCGCATATTTTTGTGGTTGTGGAGTGGTGGTAGTCCGTAGGAGTAACAGTACTACACATGTACTTTCTGCTGGTGCGACCACAGGCGGTTGTACGCTGGGCAGAATACTACAGTGGCATCCGGACTTGGGTAGGAGAGCAAGAACAGCAGTCCGAGACGCAGAGGTTGCCAACCGGACATCTGATCCTTTTGTCCCTGTTGACAACACAAACGACACGATACAGTTGTTGTGGATCACAGCGCAGCTTACTTCTCAAATCATAAGATCAATACGGTAAGCTTCAATGAGGACCATGCATACACGGTGTTGATTGCAGTGAAATTGTAGCGAGAACGACGCGGGAGGTGGGAGCAGAGCGTGTATTGCCACAACAATGTGCAACTGACCACTTACAAACATGTACAGATATGGACCGTGTTTCCTTCCCACGACGCACCGCGAATGAGGATTTGTGAGATGGGTCATTCCATGTGCCTACAAGGTTGAGCTTCGGGACAATTCCTCCATGTTTTCAACCCGGATCGCCACTTCGCTATATCCGATTTTGGCCAGCCAGAAGTCGTTCGAAAGCTCGCGATTTGCTTTCCCGTGACTGTATCACTCTGCTCGCGCTCAGTCTTGTGGGTTTCGTCAGCGGTGTATTTGTCTGCGTTTTCGGCAAATACCTCCTCCGTTATTCCGGACCCAGGCTCGTTACCAGATGTCGCTCCTGATTCGCTGTCGGCGCGATCTTCAAGACGCGCAATGCCTTGTATCGTCTCATTCATTGCGCCCGTACGTAACACTCTACCGTCCACTTTATGTTGTCTTTCCAGCTCACAAGAAGTCATTGGCTTCCGCCGCCCTACAGAATGACCCCGAATATGTTGTTCATTGTGCAACCTCCCCGTATGTTTCCTGGCTAATTTCGCCACTCGTCGTGAATTGCAACAGGGCTACCTTGATGTCATCCCGTCTTGAACTCTCATTTTTTCCTATACATCTCAGTAACCGTCACTCGGGCCGACGAGTTGTCTAGCGATTACCCATCACCGATATTCATTCTCTCCGTGAACAAGCGAAAATAAGTGAGGCCTCAGCTATTTCCCAATCGAGTGTTCAAGCGAAGCCAAAACGATGACGGCAGCGGTGATATATCGCACCACCTGGGACTTATAGAGTCTGCGGCAATCACGATATGTAGACCTGAGTTCTTACGACGCAGTGAGGAACTACTCTGGCTGCACTCTGGGTTGGAGCCCCAACCCCGCCTCGGTTTGTACCTCTGAATATTTGGAGCAAATTGAAATGTTAATCCGATATATATATATATATATATATATATATATATATATGGTTGGCGGCATCCGGTTTCGGATTTGCCTGTCACTGTGGCCAGCCACAGGACGCCTGCGCCTACAGAGGGACCATGGGTGGCTTACGCTGCACCACCCACAGCTCCAACCACACACCCCATATCCAGTGTAAACCCGAAGGAATAAGACCGGGAGGCATGCGGATGGGAACCACGTTTCATCAACGGAGCCGGCCCACACTCCTTCACAGGCAAACACAAGCACACTGTATTTGGGAATCAAGCGCACACAAGGCGGTGGCTGGACCGTAGTCCGCTCCACACTGAGTGCATGGAACCACTCTTTGAGCCTAACACGGCCACAAGGACCGTGCACCCCGTCCCCTCCAGCAACGACCAACTGTCTCCTGGAGCCAGTATGGACGAGGTAGTGGGTAATAGACAGGTAGGCACCTTGTCAACATGCACATCAAACGCAGCCACACAGGGGATATCAAACAACAGCCAAACACTTGAGAGAGAGAGAGAGAGAGGGAAAGAAAATAACTCGATTGATGCATACGGAAACGGTGACATAAACCTTAAGTTAATGAGCATATGAAATAAGTTGTTTACAAACGAATCCTAGATAAGTTCACGAGGTGAGAAAGTATACTATACGGAAATGCCACGAACACAAAAATGTTATGGAAATCGAATACAATTGGCTTAAGCGAGGTGTGCAAGTTAATGGAATAGAGTACAGGTAGACATTTATATGAGAAAGAAAAGCATTAAGGCAAAATTGAAAACCCACCACCTGAAATAAAGAGACTTAGCATGCAAGCACGCGGTTAGTAAAAAGAATGCAGCGTATCTACAGACGCTGCGCCGGTTTTGAATACTTCTCTGCAGGACCCGTCGTCGCTTCTGTAGTGGTCCCGAGTGGCCTCGCTCATGGCTCACTAGACACTAGACATTTATAGAAGAAAGGCATTAGGACAAAACTGAAAACCCACCACCTGAAATAAAGAGACTTAGCATGCAAGCACGCGGTTAGTAAATCGAATGCAGCGTACCTACAAACGCTGCGCCGGTTCTGCCTATGTTCTCTGCAGAACCCGTCGTCGCTTCGGTAGTAGTCCCGAGTGGCCTCGCTCATGGCTCACTAAGCCTGCCTGACTAAGGCACTCGCGACCGCAGGTTCTACAGCACCATGCGCTTGATGTCGATGGAGTACAATTCATCGGTGCTTGCCGCTTCCGCACTTGCCGCTTCTTCTCTGCATGCATGAGGGCTTTCTCCCGCACTTCAGCAACTGCCTTCGTGATTAGATCGCGCCATGCACGCCGATCAACCGCCTTCGATTCCCATGATCTGCAATCAAGGTTAGAACGTGTGAGGCTCACTTTGATCATGTCCTGGTAACGTAACTTTGGTTTCCCCACGTGCCGCTTCCCAATACTCAGCTGACCGTATAAGAGTTGTTTCGGTATCCGCGTCGAATCCATACGGCTCACATGACCGAGCCACCTCAGGTGTCTCAGTAAAAGTATGCAGTCCACTGCATACATCCCACTTCGGCGCAAAACTTCCGTGTCTGCAACTCTGGCGCCCCAACCAATGCGCAAAATTCGTCGCAGACACTGCTGATGGAACCGCTCGAGATATCG